CCCCCCAGGAGAGGCTCCCCCAGCTCCCCCTCCAGCCAGACCCCCCCCAGGAGAGGGTCCCCTTTCGGTGGGTGCTCGGCCGGCGGGGGGACGGAGGGGGTCCCTCAGCCGCGCCCACGCGGCGCCCGGGAGCGGCCTACACGCGCGCCGGGGCTCCTTACACTTCCATCTCGTCCACCCGCCGCCGCCTCCTGCCCGCCGGCGGAGCCGCACGCCGAGGCCGCCCCCGCCCCTAGAGCGCTAGTCCCCGCGGAGCCGCGCACTGGGCCCTCCTGGCGGCGCTCGGCGCTGGGGCCGCCTGACTCAGAGCGCGCAGCCCTGGGCCCCTTCTACTGTTGCGGTCCTCGGCGGGGGCCCGTCCCCATCGCCTGAGAGACCCGCAGAGGCAAAAGTATTGAATCCAAGTTATTCTGGGGGAAGCAGGGGCAAAAAGCGATACTTGCATTGGCCGGGAATCGAACCCGGGCCTCCCGCGTGGCAGGCGAGAATTCTACCACTGAACCACCAATGCAGGTGATAACAAAAACACTCACCACCCTCTACTTAATTTAAAAGAGATTGACTGATTCTCTGGTTTTTATTTTCCATATACACTGACCAAAATGTGTCCAATATATAGAAGCCTTTCACAAATACCCTGAAAATTCACTTACCTATCTTCAAAATATACTTGTCCCCCCTTTATCCTGACAATACTTTTTTGGGGAGGAGGTGAGAGGGAAGTATATTCCACTTGCCTATTAAAAAATTAATTAGTCACTGTGGATAGAAAACTCAGTACATATAGAAGCCTTTCAAAAATGTCCTGGAATTTCATTAGCTCTGGTTCCAAAACTCTTGGCTACCCTTTACCAGGATAATAATGGTGGGGAAAAACATATCTCACTTGTCCATCAAATCAAAAAATTATTGACTATGTGCAAGCAGAATTTTGCTAGTTCTGCAACAGATATATAAAACCTCTTCCCATTCCCACCCACCCACTTCTATGTCTATTTCATCATCCAGGTCATGAGCACTCTCAATCCCCTTTTTTCCCCTCCCTCCTCTTGCACCCCTTTGTATATATATTGTATTATATTTTGTATGGTCTTCTTTAATCCCAGAGAAAACTAGATCCACTCTGCTGAGTAGATACAGTTGAAAATCCCATTGGCTAGGGCAGGCAAAATTCTGCCTGGGCCACTGGCTGCGAGGCAGGAGTAGATGAATACAAGAAACAGTTTCTTCTGTTATTGATCTGCCATTCAAGAATCTATGTATAAACAGTACAGTAATGATTCCTCCAACAACAGGCACAAAGTGCTTGTTTCTGGGGCTGCACAGGGAATTCACAGTCTTGCACGGACTCAAACTCATAAGGATAAGATTTAGCCATGGGCATTTTTAGTAAAAGTCATGGACAGGTCAGGGGCAATAAACAAAAATTCACGGCCATGTGACCTGTCCATGACTTCTCCTATATAGCCCTGACTAAATCTTTGGTGTTTTGGGGGGTTCCGGGTGTGCAGCTGCTGCTCTGGAGGGGGGGTCTCTGCTGGTGTGCCTGTTGGGGGGGCCTCCGGGGTGCCCACTGGTGTGCCTGCTGGAGGGAGGGCTGGCACAGCAGGGGATGGCCCTGCCGGCCTGGGACCATGGCAGCCGCCACTGCTGGCGGGGGGCTGCTTGGGACCGCCGCTGCTGCTGGTGGGGGGCAGTCCTGCCAGGTTAGGACTGATGCACTGCTGCTGGCGGGGGTGGCCCAGGACCGCCGCTGTTGTGGGGGCAGTGCGGCTGACCGAGGGGCCACCTGAGGGCCACCTCTGCTCCAGCGGCCCTGGGGTCAGTCGTACTTGCCAGCTGCAGAAGACACAGAGGTCCCAGGAAGTCACGGAATCCGTGACAGACTCGCAGCCTTACTCATAAGCCACTGTGAGTAAATTTAGCACCCAACTTGTTCTCCAGCATCAGGACCTGAAAGGAGGCAACTCCACGTGCCCTCCTGGCTTAGGGCCTTGCTCTTAGGTGGGATGCTGCACACTATCAGGCCACCTCTGCCAACTCTTAATGATCTAGACAGGCGACCCAACATGCAGTGTCGTGTCTTAAGAACAGTCAGCCTTTTATCAGTGCAAAGGACTGAAATATGAATGGATCTCAGGAGCCTGGATCAATAGACTAGATATCAAGTTAGCATTGCTATTCTTTTTCAGTGTGGCATGCAGGGTAGTTGTAGCCGAGCTGGTCCCGGGATATAGAGACAACTCACCCACTTTGTCATTCTTTTTCAGGCCCGGATTCCGTAATCCTGGAGTAATAATACCAAACAGGCAGAGAGATGCCCTGTAACTTTTCTGTTGGTTGGAGCAAGTCTCCGGATTGCTGCCTGCGATCCTACGTGTGCATCTGCTCCCAGTTTGATGAAGGGGAAGAAGAAAGTTATGTTTCTTTTGGGAATACAGTGCTTCCAGATTGTATTCATTTTTCAAAGTTTTTTCAACTGATCTGTTCACCCCTGCCTCCACCTTCCCTATAATACCATTAGATTTGGGATTCAACATCCTCAGCATATTAATTTTTCCTCATGGCATCTCTTTTTTATCTCTCTCTGGAATTCCATTTTATTCCTAATCATCTGCATTTTCAGTTTCCTTCCAAGGCTTTGCTGATGGACGCTTTACACCCTATCCCAGCTTCTTTTTGTTTTAGTTGCTGAGTCTAGGAGCTCATGCATTACCAAAATTGCCACTATGGGTCTTGCAAACAACTTTTCAGGAGAGGCGACAAAAGCAGTAATTAGCTCAGTGTTTCTAAATGCTACACTTTAGATTGGACTAGGGGTATGAGATACACAGAATAGAACATCCATAGAGAACACAGATGTGGGGTTTTCGAAATGTGCTCAGCGTGTCAACATTCTAAGCATAGGATTTTGATTGTTACTGCTAAGCCTCGGTGAGAGAGGGGCCTTGGTATTAACTATTGAAAGCAGGGGGCCTTGTAACTGCTATTGAAAGCAGATCTGCAGTGTTTGTAGTCTTTGTTATGAAAGATGTTTAGCGTAGTCAGCATTTTGCTGATCACCCTATAGTGTCTTTTTGGCATTCAAAATTAATTAAACCATTTTTTTTTTAAACAAAAATGTCAACTCTGCTCCACACCACTCCAGCTGACAGTGCATTTGACTAGCGGTTTCAGTCCATATCACGGATGTACCTTTAGTTTTTTTTAAAGCAAAGTCACTGTTAAAAAAGAACCTTTTGAAGAAGCTGAAAGGTAGCACTTTTTTTCACCTCTGCTCTGCATCGTGAATCAACAAGCTTCTACAATTAGGCCTATTATTATTGTAGCATATTTCTGGAAACCACTCAGAACACTGAAGGGAGTTGAACACCACCAGAAAAACACTCCTCAACGAAAAAACGATAGTTCAGAAATAGTAAGTTCGTGACCTTAATTTACAAAAGCAAGCGCAGTTAAGGCTCAAATGTCTAGTACCTAGGGGCAATGAAATGCAGTGAAATAAAATTAAACATGTCCGTGCTTAGCTGCTGCACGTGCAAAATGCACTTTCAGGGCTGCCCGAGTACATCAGTTTGGAAGAGCGTGTAGCAGGAAACATCAGTAAAGGGGTGATGCTCCACTCTCTGTCCCCAGCGGGGGACGCAGTGCTATGCTCTGGCATTGCCATTCCATCAGGGCCAAAGAAGTACCTTGCATCTAATTAAATTAATTAAGTACCTTGTATTTAATTTTTTTTAATGCTTCTGTGTCACTTGAGCAAGTACAGGTCTGTCTCATCTTACGCTGGGGTTACGTTCCGCAGTCAGCGCCTAAAGCGAAAATCGCGTATAGTCAAAGTTACACTGAGTGTAATGGCGGGCGGAATCGCCCGCACTACAGAAACGGTATTTAAATTGTTATTTTTCTTTTGTTGTTGTTGTTTTTTTGTTTTTGCCGATCGCATAAAGCTGAAATCGCACATGTTAAATGTGCCTAAGATGCGACAGACCTGTAAAAGATTGAAAGAATAAAACAGAAAGTGAAAGAAAATAAAAAAGAGAATGAAAAAAATAACTGAGATCTGAGTGTCTGATCAGGCCTGTTTTGTCCTATTTCACCACTGCCCCCTGCAGTGCTTTACTTCCTCGCTCAAAAGCACTCCACAGAAGTCCTTCCTTATTGCCTGTCCCAATCCCTGAGACTTCTGTTTTGACCTCCAGTTTCATTTCTGTTTTCTGCAGTTTCCTTGTTGCTCATCACTGTGCAAAGGACTGATTTTGAACTGCCTTATCTAGAAAAAGTAGGACAGAGGATTAATCACCGCCTAGAGACAGGCAAGTATATGAAGATAATAAACCAGAAAAAACATCACTGCTACGGCACCTGGACACCAGTGATGGATGCCATGTAAATGCTTTTGAAGATGAGATAAATAAGAAAGATATTGTTTGATAACACCCACCAAAGGCACTTGACTTGCAAAAGTAAATCACCTGGGTTTTGTGCTGAGGCATGTAAGAGAAAAAAGAACATAAAATAAATTCAGTTAGAATGCAGACAGGGATAATACTCAAGTGATTTACAATTTGGCCTCAGTCCTGACCCAACTGAAGTCAATGGAGTTTTGATATTGACTTAAGTGGGAGCAGGTCCAGTCACTTGATAACTCATGGAAAATATCTAGTAATAAGTCAATGGATAACCAGTACCTGGTTGCCATATATGGGGCGTGATCACCAGTCCACCTTTCACATTGGGAAAGTCCATTCCCACATCATCTTCCTCCAGGGAGACACTATCCTTGCAAGGGTTGTATAGATTCTACATAGCCAGTGTTGGGGCAGTGCAACACGCCTTCTTTACATGCCTCATCTTGTCATAAGGAAACTGTGCACTGGTTGTTTGGCCAACACAACAGCAGCCCCCCACCCCCAGGCCCAACATAAGGAAAACACCTCCCCAAAGTGAGAGCAGGAGGAGAGGAGAGGGGGAAAGGAGAGAATTGGAAAAGAGGAGTAAATAGTGGGATTGAAACAAGAGGGGATGAATGGAAGGAGAGGCCAGACAACAGGAAAGGACCAATAAAGGAAAGAGAGATCCCAAATGTGCACAGAGGAAATGGAAAGAAGAAAGAACAAAATAACAAGGAAATAGATGAGAAAAAAATAATCTAAATAATCTGCTGGGGAGCTGATGGCTAATTCCCTAAGGATTAATTTGCACCATTTCTAGAGTCTCTCCAATGTCTTGACACTGCAGATTGAGAATATTGCATTGTAATGTAACTAACAAATAATGCAAATCATAAAAAAGTCTCAAGTAAAAGATTAAAAGAATGAAACAGAAAGCAAAAGAAACAGAATGAAAAAAAAAAAGAGAACACATTTGACTGTCTGGAGAGGGAAGGAGGAGAAAGCGCCCCCCTTGGCTGCTGCATTATT